CGATTCTTGCTTCTCCCCCTAAAGTCAGTCACCAAACATCTGATGAGGAGGATCCCTGAGATTTTCTTCTCATCTCTTCATTTAAAAGGCTGCTCTTGGCAAGATCCATAGAGATCACACCATCCGGAGCAAAATTTGATAATGAAGTTCTAAGAACTTCCCAAGAATCTGGTAGGGAACCAAGTAGAAACAAGCCTTGAATTTCTTCATCAAATTTAATGCACATAGCAGATAACTGGTTCATGATCCCCTAAAAATTATTCAGATGATCTGTCATCGCGGAACCATCGTGGTATTTTAAACCCAACATCTGCTTTATCAGAAACATCTTGTTGTTTCTAGTTTTCCGAGCATACAAACTTTCAAGGTGCTCCCATAGGGTTCGAGCATGTGTCTCCTCAGAAATATGGTTCAAAACATTATCGTCAACCCACTGTCTAATAAAGCCGCAAACCTGCCTGTATATCAAATTCCACTCTTCATCTGATTTATTATCAGGCTTTTTAGTGGTGAAGACAGGTTGATGAAAATTCTTGACATAGAGCAAATCTTCCATTTTGCCCTTCCAAATGGCATAATTTGTGCCACTCAAAGTAACCATTCTACTAGTGTTGGCTTCCATCGTTTATCACAATTACAAATACTATTTATTAGGAGACCAAAGTAATTCTTTTCTGATGTAGAAGTTCAGACTGTGCTGCGACCACAGAGCATACTCAAACAGAACCTTGGCTCTGATACCACTTGTTGGGAATAAAAATAGACCGCAAAAATAATATTCACGGTATTAGTGATAAACGCGGAACACTAAGTGATGAGTTAAATCAGCAAGAATAAAAGTGCAGCAATAATGACACCAAGATTTTATGTGGAAACCCTTCTGAATAATGGAAAAATTCACAGCCAAGAAGAGCAACTGATATCACTATAGCAAGAAATTTTACACTGTGTAGTAACGAGTACAAATACTCCTAAGACCACTACACCCTCAAAAGAAAAAAAACACCCTTTTGCTTTTTTCACCTCACTACAATATCTCTCACACTCTATTTTTCTTCACAGACTATTTTCTTATAGTCTATGGAATATCTTGCTCTCTCTCTCTCTCTCTCTCTCTTTCTCTCTCTCTCTCTCACTCACTCAGATGTATTGTTTGAGATTTTTTTGGTGCATATGCAACTGATGAAATGCTTTCCTATTTATAAGGAATAGATGGGCTTGCAGATATAAGCAGTGACTCAAGCAAATACAAAAATTTCAATATTTAAAGTGTGAAAGATATTTGGCCGGTTGGCCATATCTGCAAACTTTGACAATTTACCAATGGAAGAAACATCTTCCTTAAAACATGGGGCTGGACCCCACATGATTGCCCTTACTGGATGCCGGAGAATACAGGAGGAGTCTTCGATCACTTGTAAGTCACCGTTAGGCTACAGACTAGGATTCCTAGTGATGATGATGTTAAGAAATTTGGTGTTATGAATCCCTCCAAATGTTATGGTCCTATGTCTGCAATGCCTACGGCATTAGGACTTCAAAATGTTTATTGTGGAACCAGATTCTTTGTTAATTGTTTCTATCATTAACAGAAGGGTAAAGCTACCATGGTGAATCAATCATATTATAGAGCAAATTTGGGAGATTATCAGTCTAAGTAATTTTAATTTTGTGCATACTTTTGGAGAGATGTAGCTGACCAACTTGCTAACTTGGGTGAAAGTGCAAAAGATCATATTATCTTCACTGAAGTTGTTTCTCTTCCGAGACAAGTTAGAACTTCTTTGAAGTTAGAACAAGGAGACCTTCCTAGTTTCAGGTTCAGAACAAGAAGGAACCAATTTATAATTAATGATGGTAGAAATGGCATGGTGTAGCCACTATTTAAGGTGGTATTTATTTTTTATCCAGCAATTCTAATGTTGAGCAAAAATAGCCACTGCCCTATTAAAATTAATATGAAAAGATATTTTTACCCTTTCTTCCCTTGCTTTTCTTCCCAAACCCTTGCTTCTCTCTCTCCGTGCCTTCTCCATAACTGTTGCATTATGTTGAGGTGGCGGAGCCTATCTACACAGTCATTCTAATGCACATCACTTGTAAGCATTCATTAAAAGACAAAAGCTCTTTAACAGAACTTTTCAATATTCATGGTTCAAAAGTTAGTAACAGAACTTTGAAAGTAGGGTGTAGACCTTCTGCTCTCCTTGCATGGTTCAGTTGGAAAGCACAAAATAAAAGAAACAAAAATAATGATTTCAATTCATAGCCAAAGAATAATGTCGCAGACTCTCCCAAATTTAAATCTTTTAACTTTGATTTTCAAGTTCAAAAGTTAAGGACAGACATCAGTTACAAGTTCAAAACTTAAGGACAATAGGTCCTTAACTTTGATTTCCAAGTTCTAAAGTTAAGGACAGACAGTCCTTAACTTTGAGTTTCAGTTTCAAAAGTTAAGGACAGGCAGTCCTTAACTTATAGTTTCAAGTTCAAAACTTAAGGACATGCAGTCCTTAAGTTATTGTTTCAAGTTCAAAACTTAAGGACATGCCGTCCTTAAGTTATTGTTTCAAGTTCAAAACTTAAGGACATGCAGTCCTTAACTTTGAGTTTAAAGTTCAAAAGTTAAGGACAGACAGTCCTTAACTTACAGTTACACGTTCAAAAGTTAAGGACAAGCAGTACTTAACTTACGGTTACAAGTTCAAAAGTTAAGGACAATAGGTCCTTAACTTTGACTTACAAGTTCAAAAGTTAAGGACGCTTGGTCTTGAAGTTTGAGTTCCAAGTTCAAAACTTAAGGACATGTAACCTTGAAGTCCTGAACTTAGAGTTCCAAGTTCAAAAGTTAAGGACATGTAGTCCTGAAGTCCTGAACTTAGAGTTTCAAGTTCAAAAGTTAAGGACATGTAGTCCTGAAGTCCTGAAGTTAAGGACATGAGCAGAAGGGTATTTTTGTCCGAGCAGTTAAAGTTTATTAAACCAGTTGCTAAAGACTAAAGACATTTAAAACGCTGGCTTTAAAATAAAGACATAAGCTGTTAGTGGCTATCTGTGCACATCGCCCTTAATGATGCTATTAGTTGAGACTATTATGGGTTGGGCAGATAGCGTGTATACATATATATATATATATATATATATATATATATATATATATATATATATATATAATATCAAGTTTTGGTGTTATGTACATTTTTATAGGTAAGGAGGTTGCCTCCATTCTCTGCCCAAATGTTTTTGCACAATTGAACATTAGATTAGCCTTTGTCAATCTACACCTGTAATCGAGGCTTAGGTTTATGTCATCCTCCGTATAATTGTTATTTTTAGAATGTATTAAGTTGGAGTCATGCATAACTCCTCCATGATGATGGACTTTTGAAAAAGAAAAATGTTACAACTTACAAGTTCAAATATGGCGAATTGTAGACTACTGTTGTTTAAATGAATTCTTTCACGAGATCATAATTCCAACAACGATGTCACAAAATCGAATCTAGAGACTTATTAACTACTGTTGCACAAATGTACTTCTTTCTTCTTCATTAACCATGTTAAAAAAAATTCAGGAAATTAAGTTAAAATGCACAGGAACTATAATAAAAAGTAAAAACAAAAGATTAATAATTTAAGAAAAATTATTCCCATTTTTTTTTATATTGAAAGTATAACAACAACAACAATAACAACAACAAAAAATCCAGTTTGATCCCATAAATGGGTCTGGGAAGGGTAGTGTGTACACAGACCTTACCCCTACCTCATAGAGATAGAGAGGTTGTTTCCGATAGACCATCGGCTCAAGAAACAATGAAAATAAAGCACCAAGTAACAAAGAATGTTAGCAACAATGTAACATAGTAACATGTGCGAATATCGCAACATGTGTAATAAAGAACCATAAATAGAAAATTACAAAAATAGTCCTATTACTATTGAATGGCCTAGGAGGAACACACTACTATCTGTCAATCTACAACCCTGATTCTCGACCTCTACACCTTCCTATCGTGGATCATGCCCTCGGTAAGCTGAAGTAATGATATGTCCTGCCTGATTACCTCTCCACAATACTTCTTAGGCCTACCCTTCCCTTCCTCAGACCCGCCATGGACAACCTCTCACACCTGCTCACCGGAGCATCCATGTCTCTCCTCCTCACATGCTCGAACCACCTCAGCCTCGATTCCCGCAACTTGTCCTCCACATATGCCACACCTACCTTGTCCCTAATAACTTCATTCATAATCATGTCTTTCCTAGTATGCTCGCACATCCATCTCAATATCCTCATTTCAGCTACTTTCATCTTTTGGACATGTGACTTCTTGACGGGCCAGCACTTAGCGCCATACAACATAGCCAGTCTAACCACCACTCTATAGAACTTGCCCTTAAGTCCATGTGACACATTCTTATCACACAACCCCCGATGCGAGCCTCCATCTCATCCACCCCGCTCCAATACGATGAGTAACATCCTCGTCAATCTCCCTGTTGCCTTGAATAATTGACCGAAGATACTTGAAACTGTCTCTTCTAGGGATGACCTTAGTACCAATCCTCACTTCCACTTCTTCTTCATGCATCCCCTTGCTGAACTTGCACTCCAAGTACTCAGTTTTCTACCTACTCAACTTGAAACCTTTAGACTCCGACGCTTGTCTCCAAACTTCCAATTTAGCATTAAGTGACATGTATTTTTAATCTAATTGAATATTCTTCTGACCGAGTTACTTGAAACTATTTTTCCTAAATTAAATGGATAAAAACCAGTTAGAGAATGTAATAATAAATGGGAAAATAATTTTCAAAAGCAAAGTTAGAGAAAGTAAATAATTTTAACTTAAATAATATTCCACTACTGATACTAGTGGGAATTGTTGGGTGGCCGTTTATTCATATGTTCCTAAATAGTCCATGTAAGCAAACTTTTTCCTTCCACTTATTTTCAGAACCAAAAAACACAAAGAAATAAAAAAGAAAAGAAAAGAAAAAAAGAACTAAAAGCACAATAGCCATCAGCACCAGTTGCACACTACGATCATTTAACACAGTTTTTTCCATCCAAAGAAACAGCACACACACACACACACACAGTGAACAAAAGAAATGGCAGTTCTAAATTGCTACTACCTCTCAGTAACCTCAACAGCCACACCAAAATCTCAAGAATCTGCAAACAATTCACCCCCAACACAATCCCCACAGCCACATCCAAGGCAAACAAAAGTGATTCTTCCTAAAAAGAAGCCTATGAAATGGTCTACTGGGGATGCTCCAGGTGATTATGGGGGCCCACCTACTACAACTAAGCTTAGAAAATACTGGGGTCAGGATGTAGACCCTCTTACCTCTGATGATTTTATTTGGAATAAAGAATTTATGGGTCGTATGAAAAAGTATGTTCAGGATCCTCAAGAGAATGATACTGCTTCTCGCTCTGCTCCTAAAAAGGTCCAACCTTTATATAATAATCTTGGTCTTTGAGCTATTTTAAGTTTGAAATTGTCGATATTTGTTACTCCCTCCATCCCATTTTATGTGCTGATGTTTGACTGGGGATAGAGTTTAATAAAGAAAGAAATAAAGATTTTTGAAACTTGTAGAGTCGTAGATATAAAATGTACTATCATTCTTTGATAATATGGAATGACGTACAAGGTTATCTCCAATTGGTAATTGAACTGCCTTATGAGTTACGACTTAGTTGTTGTTACTGTTGTTGTTGTTGTTGTTACCCTAAAAATTAAATCTGGTGTTTGGCAGGAGTAATAATTTGACTATGGTTAGAGAATTGATTTCGTATTTGCATAATATTGGCATGAGATGAGTTTAAATGGAGTAACATGGTCCGTGAGGATTCATAAAGGCTATAGCCAATCCCAACTGTAGTAGTAGTAGTTGTTGTAAAGAATTGATTTCAACTTAGAGATAAGCTTGCAATTTAGAGGACCTCTAGTTATAGAGAATCCCTGATTTGTCTTGAAAGATGAATTACTTAGTATTTGGAATGAAATAGGACTGAATAGAATGAATGGTTACAGAAAATTCATATGGTGAAGTCCAAGTCGATAAAAAACAGTTGAGTCCAAGTAGTTTGGAATTGAGGTAAAATCATTTATAAACCTACCTTAAGGATTCTCAGTTGTGTTGTTCTGCAGTCAACTGGTATACCTGTTGAGGAATCTTTCCTTTTTGTTGGGCTTTCAATTAATGATATGTTCCATAGCTTTCTGCACGAGAGGGAGTAAACTAATGTGATCGATGAGTTTCTTCCTTTTCTTTTCTTTCTTTTTCTTAATTGAATTGCATGGAACTATGATTTTATCTCTGTTGAACTTTAGTATGAAGATGTTGTTTGCTACTATAGAGGGTAAAATTCAGCATTTTGTTTAATTCCATTTCTGTTAAAATGGTTGCGTAATTTGATTGTGACTATGTCATATTGATCTAGCAGGAAGAGTCATTTGGATTTCTTAGCTTAAATAGAGTCATGAGTCTTGACAGGTGGGACTCGTCTTCTACCTTTCTTTTGGATAGATATATTTATATATATGTTCTTTCTTCCCCTAATGTGATTGCATTTGGAGTATGCAGTATGGAAATTGACTTGGGTGAGAAGCTAATGGCCCCTTCAAAACCTGTGCTAGACCCTGAAGTCGAGGAAAGTCAAGTATGGTAATTTTAAGACACTTGGCTTTAGCTATTTAGCATTAATTTTCTTTTACGTACATTTTTCGAGCTGAAAGTAGCTTTCAGGCTATCGTAAGTGCATCTCAAAGATGGAGACCAGCACCAACACGACGAGAGCAGGAGAAGTGGGACAGGGCTGCAAAGGCTGCAACTGGGGGCAGCGTATGTCATTAGAACTGCCTAAAGAGTTCATTTCTTGAAATTTGATTTTTTTTTTTTTTTTTTTTT